TAAGAGAATATGTAAACAAAGGTTATAAAAGCATGAGTAGTGAATATTCTGTTAGTATTTGACTCAAGCTGTATATTGGAAGGTTTTATTAGTTTTGTGAATATCAGATACTGATGCAGTGATAATTGATCCAGCAGCCAAATGCAGTGATTAAACATTATATCACCAAAGCTAACTATTTAATTAATCAAATTAGATTTATGAGTGCAGTATTCTGAATGAAATATTGTTCTACATGTGTTGTCTTCAACCACAAAGATGCAATGAAGTTGTAATCAAACAAAAGCATCATATGAGATAAGAGGATACCTGATTTACTTACATCATTAGACCTCGTTTCTGATAGCTTGGCACAGAAATAGTCATATACAGCAGAGGAACTGCTCTTCTCCAAATTGACATGGTATGTAAGATTGCTGTTATGATCCTCATACAAATGGATATCAGACAGTGTGGACTTTCGGTGATCGAATCCTATCACCCTAATTATTTTTTAAGAATCAACCAGAAAATAAGCGATTCACATCAGGATGATCACACATAAACAAGCGGAATGAAGAAACTTGATTACATACTGGCATGATGTCCGCCGTGAAAGCTCGGCTGCAAACCCTTTAGGGCCAAGAAAATCAAGAAAGTAATATTTCTCAACTCCATCAATACGCAAATCTTCAACCCTGTTTCAGATACGATCATCCAACTTAAAATTATGAAGTAACGAATGCAGAGAAAGACGAACCAAGAATGCATAATGTGGTGAATTCGCAAATCGCAACAGCAAACTTGTTGATTTTCAGTGGGAGAATGTAGAATCATTTTACCTGAAAGGTTCGACGGATGAGAAGGGCAAGATGAGGCATGGGATATTGAGGTGGCGATGAAAAAGGTGAGCAAATAGAGCTGAGAATGCTCCGGAAAAAGAAGGATAGTTGTAGAGAACTAAGTTTTGGGTACGTTCTTCGCGAGCTCTGGTGAGTGATTCCAGTGCGGCATTTGATCGAAAACCTTGCGGGCGTCCTAACGTTGTGGTTTGGAATCTAGCGATTCCGCTCCGGTTCTTCCCAACGAGTGAGATCGAGTGTCCCAGTGTCATTTGCTACAATCAAATTACCTCGAACTTGTTATTGCTTTTAGACCATTAGTTGTTGGCAAGATGCAGCATCAACAACATGCCAAATAAGCAAGCATGTGTTGCCACACAAGCAAAGTGTCGCGCGTGAAAATGAACAACAAACATAAGCAAATGGTGTTATAACACCAACACCAAGTGAAAAGATAAGATAGAACAACAAAATATAACACCAACTTTTTAAGAATAAATATGTTTTATTAATTTTTTTATTTTTTTATTTTGATTGTTGACAAAGGCTAAAAAGAGGGCAATGTTCACATTTTTACTCGTTGCTTTAGGTTGTAACGGCAACAAGAAGCCCCATGACAAGAATCAACTAGATGCTGGGGCTGTGTACAACAAGATGCAACGCTGTTGTGGACGTCCACCTCAGCCACAACGAGCAAATTTTGTACCCACACTGTATGCTCTTACCCATTGAAAACTGCAGGAAAACTGGAAACATGTTTCTCTCTCTTTCTCTCTCTCTCTCTCTCTCTCTCTATATATATATATATATATATATATATATATATATATATATATATATATATATATATACACCATCTTATAAAACATACATAATCAATGTTTTAAGTACAAAATTTAAACTCTAAGGTACAAAAATTAATCATGTTATCTTAAAAAGCAAGAAGAGCTGATCTGGACCGTTGAATATTATTCGAATGGTGGGGATTAAAAACAAAGGACTCACACATATTACCAACGTGTTATAATCCAATGCGAGCAATTCAAATTTTTTTGAAATCGAATTTTCACACATCTGGAACCAAAAGGCGTTTATTTCTCTTTTTTGAAATCGAATTTTCACACATCTGAACCCTAGCCGCTATCAATCTCTCTTTCACTATGTCCTCTGTTGGACCACCATCAGATCCTTTGTTCATTGGTCATGTTTGTTTCTTAGAACTTCCAATTCAGGTAAGAATCATCTTCTTGATTTCCTTTATTTCTCCCTTTCTCTTTCTCTTTCTCTTTATCTCTATCTCTATCTAAACACCGATTATTTTGAATCGTTCAGGTTATCATGTAACACCGTAAATTTCAAACAAATTTTTTTCACATTTTCATAAAACATAATTCATTTAATAATCATAAAACAACCATATTTAATTATCCAGTTCAAGTAAATACAAAATCCCAAGATCACAGATGTATAAACTACGTGTGTGTGTACGGATCAAGCCGGTGCCTTCCCGCGGTCATCACTAGTACCTGAAACAATAACATCAAACACTGTAAGCACAAAGCTTAGTGAGTTCCCCAAAATACCACATATAACACATATTAGCCACTCGAGGCTATAACTCTGTGGGTCCGTGCACCCAAACTCTGTGAACCCTCAGGTTCAAACTCTGTAAACATGCATAGCATAAATCACAGAGAATAATGCAGTACAACACATAACATACATAGCATACAAATACTCTATCACATAACTCTGGTTACCTACTCAAGGTAAAGTATAGTGAGAAGACTCACCTCGCGTGTCTCGGTAAGTCGTGAATCCTGAAATCACTAGTGCTCGATCTCCCGAGCTAAAGTCCTCCTAAATCACAATACATCTCTAATTAACACTTTCCCAACTAAGGTTGACTACTCTTTAACAAGTCAACTTAAAGTCAACGTTGGTCAACGGTCAACTTTGACAGGACTCAGCGAGTGCACTATAGCGACTCGGCGAGTCTGAGCGTATACACTGATTTCCCTGAAATCCTCCCTTGACACGTCGAGTATTCTCTCTAACTCGACGAGCTGCACCTGACATGAGTTGTGGGGCCACCACGACTCAACTTGCCGAGTCTCAAGAACAACTCGGCGAGTCCAGCTTGACTCAGTCCACCTGTCCACTCTGACTTCCCCCCCTGACTCACTGAGTCAACCCTCCCCAACTCGGCAAGACCACTCGCTGAGTGGTCGGGCATTATTCAGACTACTCGCCGAGTCCGTGCCATGCAATGACTCAAACTTGCTCATAAGGTCAGATCCAATCCATTAACCCATAGATCCAGTCCTTCCAAGCTTATTTAGCACGTAAAGTCACTATCTTGATGCACATACAATCTCTATATGACCATATATGATGTTTTTGTCTCAAATATTACAACTCAAGGTCATAAACTCCATTGCTATACATAAAGCTTGATGAGTGAGGCTCTCTGGACCTCTATGGATCCAGATCCAGAGCCTCAACACAAGAAGGGAACTATTTGGCATCAAATCAACCCAAAAATGTCCATAAGAAACCCTAGATCCCATTATACTTCACAAAACAGAAATTAATCCGAAATCATACCTCTAGATTAATGATCTAAGCTTCAAATCTACAGAATAGCAACCTCCTTTGCCTCCTCTTGTGTAGAATCTTCTCTTTCTTTGCTAAAAGGCACACACAAGGTCAAGAATGCTTCCTTTCTCTCTCAAAACGTTCAAGCACTCAAGGGTTTCTCTCTAAGGGTTGGGTGAGCACAAATGACGACCATAAGGCCCTTTAAATAGGTCTTAATCCCTGGAAATTAGGGTTTCACCACACAGCGTGAACTCGCCGAGTCCACCCTTGGACTCGTCGAGTCCGGACGCGAACCCGTGCCCAAATCCGTGATCCTACTCGGCGAGTTTGAGCTCCAACTCGCCGAGTCCACTCACAATTTCCATAAATAAATCCAAAATAAATACCTGAAAATTTCGGGCTGTTACAATTCTCCCCCACTAGAACTAGACTTCGCCCTCGAAGTCTCACTCTGCAAATAACTCCGGATGCTGCTCTCGCATCTCACGCTCCGGTTCCCACGTCATCTCGGATCCCTTCCGATGCTGCCACTGAACCAAGACCAAAGGTACCTCCTTGTTCCTCAGAACTTTGATTTTCCGATCTCCGATGGCCACTGGTCTCTCAGCATAATTCAGGCTCGCATCCACCTGAATATCATCTAATGGAACCACTGCCGACTCATCGGCTATACACTTCCGCAATTGCGACACATGGAAAGTGTCGTGAATCTGCCCCAACTCTGCTGGCAAATCCAAGCGATAGGCTACCCTGCCTACCCTCGCGACTACCCGAAATGGTCCGATATATCGGGGCCCCAACTTGCCCCTCTTCCTGAATCGGATCACTCCCTTCCAAGGAGAGACCTTCAGGAGCACAAAATCACCGACCTGGAACTCAAGTTCGGACCGGCGTCTGTCCGCATAACTCTTCTGTCGACTCTGAGCAGTCAGTAACCTCTGCCTGACCTGCTGGATCTGCTCTGTCGTCTGAAGCACTATCTCCGTGTTGCCCATAACACGCTGCCCGACTTCTCCCCAACAAATGGGAGTTCGACACTTCCTCCCGTACAACAGCTCAAAGAGTGGCATTCCGATGCTCGAATGATGGCTGTTGTTTTAAGAAAACTCGGCCAACGGCAAATACGTATCCCAACTTACCCCGAAATCCAATACACATGCTCGGAGCATGTCCTCGAGGGTCTGAATCGTCCGCTCACTCTGTCCGTCTGTCTGGTGGTGATATGTGGTACTAAAATGCAGCCTAGTACCCAACTCCTCATGGAACTTCTTCCAGAACCTGGAAGTGAAACGCACATCCCGGTTGGAGACAATCGAGATCGGCACTCCATGCCGAGATACCACTTCTCTGCGGAAGAACTCTCACTGATGGCAAGGAAGTGAGCGCTCTTCGTCAATCTATCCACAATCACCCAAATTGCATCAACTCCCCGAGCCGTCCTTGGCAATTTGGTGATGAAATCCATGGTGATCTATTCCCACTTCCATTCGGGAATCTCCAATGGCTGCAACTTACCATGCGGTCTCTGATGTTCGGCCTTAACCTTACGGCAAGTTAAGCACCTCTCAAAGAACCACACAACATCTCTCTTCATAGAGGGCCACCAATACTCCTTCCTCAAATCAAAATACATCTTAGTGGCCCTGGGATGGATCGAGAATTTCGACCGATGAGCCTCTTCCATCAAAATGGCACGCGTACCTCCCACGAATGGTACCCAAATACACCCCTGAAAAGTCATAAGCCCCCAACCATCGGTAACGAACTCCGATACCAATCCAACAACTCGCTCTCTCTTTTGGTTTTCCGACCTCACTGCCTCAGCCTGTGCTCCTCGAATGGTGTCCAACACCGGAGTCATCACAGTCAAACGAAAAACATACACCTCGCAACGGGGCACTCTCTGCCCGACGACTCAGGGCGTCGGCTACCACATTAGCCTTGCCCGGATGGTACAGGATCTCACAATCATAATCCTTAACCACATCCAACCACCTCCTCTGCCGCATATTTAGGTTGGGCTGATCCATCAAATACTTCAGACTCTTATGGTCCGTGTATATCGTACACCGAACCCCATACAAATAATGGCGCCAAATCTTGAGGGCGAACACCACTGCCCCCAACTCTAGGTCATGGGTGGGATACCTCGACTCATGAGGCTTCAACTGCCTCGATGCATACGCTATCACATGCCCTCTCTGCATCAGTACCGCTCCCAATCCCAAAATCGATGCATCGCAGTATACAACAAAATCCTCCATTCCCTCCGGGAGGGCTAACACCGGGGCCTCGCATAACCTTTGGCGAAGCGTCTCAAAGGAGGCCTGCTGCTCGGGGCCCCATGAAAAAGCAACACCCTTCCGGGTCAACCTAGTGAGTGGCACTGCGATCTTAGAGAAATCCTTGATAAATCTCCGATAATAACCGGCCAACCCTAGAAAACTCTTGATCTCGGAGGGTGACCTCGGCACTTCCCAACTCATCACTGCCTCCACTTTGGCCGGATCGAAAAATATCCCATCCTGGTTAACAAGATGTCCTAGGAACTAGACCTCTCGCAACCAGAAATCACACTTGGAGAATTTGGCATAAAGCCTCTCCGATCTCAAAACTCCGAGGATCTCCCTCAAATGCTCCTCATGTTGCTCCCTAGATCTCGAATATACCA